CACTTCAATTTTTTTAGAGAGAGAAACTATCCCTAATTTTTTGAAAGAAACTATCTCAAATTTTAAGTTTAGAGAGAGAAAGTATCTCAAAATTTTAGAGAGAGAAAATATGTCAAAATATTTTAAAAAAAGAAACTTTTTCAAAAAATTTAGAGAACTTATCTCAAATTTTAAGTTTTAGATATAGGTATCTAAAAATTTTTAGAGAGAGAAAATATCTCAAAATTTTTAATGAAAGAAACTTTCTCAAAAATTTTATAGAGAAACTATCTCAAATTTTTAGAGAGAAACTATCTCAAAATTTTAAGTTTTAGAGATAGAAAGTACTTAAAATTTTTAGAGAGATAAGGTACTTAAATTTTTTAGAGAGAGAAACAATCTCAAATATTGAGTTTTAAAGAGAAAGTATCTTAAAATTTTAGAGACAAAAAATATATTGAATTATAGAGAGAGAAACCACCTAAAAATTTTAAAGAGGAAATATCTCAAAAAATTTAGAGAGAGAAACTATATCATATTTTAAGTTTTAGTGATGGACATATCTTAAAATTTCAGATCGAGAAACTATATCAAATTTTAAAGAGAGTAAGTACCTGAAAAAAGAGAAACTATCTCAAAAATTTTGGAACATATCTCAAATTTTAAAGTTTAGAGAGATAAAATATCTTAAAATTTTAGCGAGTGAAAATTTTAGAAAGAGAAATTATCTTCAAATTTTTAAAGAGAGAAAATATCTCAAATTTAATGGAAACAGGCCATTATAATGAATAATTCAATTAAAATTATTTTAAAAACAAAGTAAAATAAGCATAAAAAATGCTATGCATCCATGTACTATCCACTGCAAAAATATATTTTATAGGAAATAATTTTCTCAATAAATACATTTCAATGAAAATATATTTTTATGGGTAATCTTTTTTTTTGGATACAAACGGCCCCTTAGTATAATCTGATCTTTCCAAAGGCAAAGCATAGTTAGAAAACTCAAGAACCTTCTTGTTTGTTCTTACATGGGATCGTCCAAATTAAGTTTAGTATAAAGGAAGTCAAGGCTCTAAAGGAGCTAGATGAAGGCCTAAAAAGACACAAAGGGAGTACTGAGAAGATATGTGATGACCTATAGCCTGATTGAGATTAGGGCGATGATAGAGTAGAATGGAGAAATATGATTTTATCCGATTTAAAAGTTGGGATAAGACTTAGATGAGATGATGATGATAAAGGAGATCAAGCGTTGCAACCTCGAAGATCGTCCAAAGATAAACCATGCTAAGCTATCATGTTTTATTGTACACATTGCATGGTATGCATGGTATGTAAAATGAGCCAAAATAGCTTAGGTAGTAAATAACAATTAAGTAGTAGCCTTATCAACCTTATATAAACTTTTTCCTATCAAACTATGCCCACTCTTTTTGAACAAATGTTTAAAGAGAAACTATCTCAAATTTCAAATTTTAAAAAGAGAATGTACCTAAAATATTTAGAGTGAGAAACTACAAAATTTGAAAAGAGAAATCATCCCAAATTAAATTTTAGGCATAAAGAGAAAAACTATCTCAAAATTTAAAGAGAGAAACTATCTCAAAATTTCTAGAGAGAAACTATCCCAAATTTTAAATCATAGAGAGAGAAACCACTTCAACTTTTTTAGAGAAATAAACTATCTCAATTTTCTAGAGAGAAACAATCTCAAATTTTAAGTTTTAGAGAGAGAATATCTCAGAATTTTAGAGAGAGAAAATATCTCAAAATATTTAGAAAAAAAAAACTTTTTCAAAACATTTAGAAAGACTATCTCAAATTTTAAGTTTCAGAGACAGGTACTTAAAAATTTTTAGAGAGAGAAAATATCTCAAAATTTGTAGTGAAAGAAACTTTCTCAAAAATTTTAGAGAGAAACTATCTCAAATTTTAAGTTTTAGAGAGATAAAGTACTTGAAAATTTTAGAGAGAGAAACTATCTCAAATTTTGACTTTTAGATAGAAAGTATCTTAAAAATTTTAGAGACATAAAATATATTGAATTGTAGCGAGAGAAACAACCAAAAAAATTTTGAGAGGAAATATATCAAAAAAATTAGAGAGAGAAACTATCTCATATTTTAAGTTTTAGAGAGGGACATATCCTACAATTTTAAATAGAGAGACTATATCAATTTTTAAAGAGAGTAAGTACCTGAAAAAAAGAGAAACTATCTCAAAAATTCTAGAGATATCTCAAATTTTATGTTTTAGAGAGATAAAATATTTTAAAATTTTAGAGAGTGAAAATTTTAAAAAGAGATTATCTTCAAATTTTTAAAGAGAGAAAATAACTCAAATTTAATGGAAGCATGACATTATAATGAATAATACAATCAAAATTATTTTAAAAACAAAGTAAAAAAAACATAAAAATGTTATGCATCCATGTACCATCCACTACAGAAAGATATTTTATAGGAAATAATTTTATCAAGAAATACATTTCAACGAAAATAGATTTTTATAGATAATCTTTTTCTTTGGATCCCCTTAGTATAATCTGATCTTTCCAAGGCAAAGCATAGTCATAAAATTCAAGAACCTTGTTGTTTGTTCTTACATGGGATTGTCCAAATTAAGTTTAGTATAAAGGAAGTCAAGGCTTTAAAAGAGCTAGATGAAGGCCCAAAAGGACACAAAGCGAGTACTAAGAAGATATATCATAGCTTATGGCCCGACTGAGGTTATGGCCATCAATAAAGTAGAATAGAGGAATATGATTCATGTATCCAATCCCAAAAGTTGGGATAAGACTCGGATGAGATGATGATAATAAAGGAGATCAAGGGTTCCAACCTCCACGATCGTCCAAAGATAAAGCATGCTAAGCTACCATGTTTTATTGTACACATTGCATAGTATGCATGGTATGCAAAATAAATAAGCCAAACTAGCTTTAGGTAGTAAATACCAATTAAGCAGTAGCTTTATCATCTATGCCCACTCTTCTTGACCAAAACATAACGTACCCTTCATCAAAACTTCTTGCGTCAAGGGATAAGCGCATTATCTTAAAAAAAAACCGTAAATAAAAAAATTTTATAGGGAAAGTAGCTTAACAAAATCCTACCCTGTGCATGTACTTACCTTGTTTCAATCGTTTTCCCTCACTCGTACTGGAAATTTTGAAAGAGACATTGTGTTCAATGTGACGACTAACAATAGCTTTTGCATTCACTGACGACGGCGTAACGTGGTTTTTTAAAGGGAAATTTATTAAAGAACCAACCCCCCAGTGCGTCCAATATTCATGATACCAATATTCATGATACCACTCTAATATTTTTTTGTTTTTGGGAAAATTACATAAAACCTTCAAAAATAGACTTTCTATTCAATTTACCTCCAAATTACTTTTTTTAGCAACGTTTTCCCTAAAACCTTGTTTCCTAGCAAATAACCCCCACACAAAAAGTTCATTTTTTTTGGACGAAATACCCTTCTCGTACATAACAAATCATTTTTAGATCCCAATAAAAGGAAACACCGCATCGCGGTTATTAAAAGCCGGACCGCCCTCTCCAATGACATAAATGCCGTACTGTAGCTTACAAATGCCGGATCGCTCATTAATCCGAGATCGATTGCCGGACTGCACTTGTAAAATGCCGGACTACCCCTCCAGTAGCATAAATCCCTAGACAGCGACATCCATACATCAGACCACACAAATAGTCGCCGGACCGCGTCTTACAAACACCGGATCACACCCTCCATTGACATATTCGCCGGACTGCCCCTTCGTAAAGCTGGACCGGGCCAATTCTAGTGACTTTAATGCTGAACTGTCCCTGTTCAAACGCCGGACTGTATCATTTACAGTGACTTCAATGCCAAACTGCCCCTTCCAAACGCCGGACCGGTGAATTGCAATGACCTCAATGCCGAACTGCCTCCTGGAACTGCCAGACTAGCCTCTTGAAGTGCCTCACTGCCCCTTCCAAACGCCGGACCGGGCCAATTCCAGTGACTTCAGTGCCAGATTGCTTCTTCCAAATGTCGGACCGTACCATTTACAGTGACTTCAGTGCCAAACTACCCCTTCCAAATACCGGACTGGCGAGTTGCAATGACCTCAATGCCGGACTGCCTCCTAGAACTGCAAGACTATCCGCTTGAAGTGCCGGACTTGCCCTTCGAAACGCCAGACCAGACCAGTTTCAGTGACTTCAGTGTCAAACTGCCCCTTCTCAAAGTCGGACCGTACCATTTACAATGACTTCAGTGTAGGACTGCCCCTCCAAACGCCCGATCGGCGAGTTGCAATGCCCCTTCCAAACGCCGGACCGGCGAGTTGCAATGACCTCAATGTCGGACTGCCTCCTGAACTGCTGGACAGGATGCTTGAAGTGTCAGACTGCCCCTCCAAATGTTGGACCGGTGTTCAATGCAGGACTGCCTCTTGGAACTGTCAAGCTGGCTACTTGAAGTGTCGAACTGCCCCTTCCAAATGCCAGACTGTACCAAACTTTAGTGCCGGACTTCCAAATACCAATTAGGTGTTCCAATTAGCTTATTTGATATTTTTGTTATGGAAACTTTACTAAATTCTATGGGGACCTTTGCTCATGGCAACAACAACCTCTATCACCATCCCATAGTTGCATATTGTCATGAGAAGATATGAAGCAATTGCATTCTAATACTACATATCAAGTTTAGCTATCGGCAACTTTCTTACAATTGGAACTCCAAATGGAAGAAAAAAAATAGTGTCCATATTAATGGAGTATTCAATGGCATTGATTATGAGCATCTTTCAACCTGTATTTAGAACTTACATGATAACAAAAAGAATGGACATTTCATTAGCTGGCTGCTATGATAGAGTAGCTTCAATTGTACAAAAAGAATGGACATTTCACTTTTTGAATTTCACTACTTAACATCTGTTTCAAACACACATGTCAAAGTAAAAAATACATATCAATTGAAAAATACATCTAAAAAAAAGGTTCATAGCCTTTATATGTTAACAAAAAGAATGGACATTTCATTAGCTAGCTGCTATAATAGAGTAGCTTCAATTGCACAAAAAGAATGGACATTTCACTCTTTGAATCTCACTACTTAACATATGTTTCAAACATACCCATCAATTGAAAAATACATCTCAAAAAAAGGTTCATAGCCTTTGCAACTTGCATTAGTCACTTTTCAAATTTCATATTTGGGTATTATCTAAAAAATGCATGTTACTTTCTTCACCTCAGCCAGTTTTTTGGCCAGCTTACAATTCTCTTTACCTTTACAACGGGTCCCTAGTCCTTTCCTCCTGGACATCTCCCTCTCTTTGCCATCGTAAATTCCACATTGATTCCTCATGCAATGCCGATATAGCTTCAAGCTGGTGGTTTTTGCCCTTGTTATTTTTGCTCTTTGTTATCCTCTCATTTTCCTCATCGGTCTCGTTCTCTCTTTCCTCATCTCCACCATCTCCCTCCTCAGTCTTGTTTTTTTATGTCCACCATCTCCCTCCTCAATCTCAATTTCTTCATCTCTATTATCTCCATCCTCGCTCTCGCTTTCATCATCTCCACCATCTCTCTCTTCGCTCTCGCTTCCACCATCTCCCTCCTCAGTCTTGTTTTTTTATGTCCACCATCTCCCTCCTCGATCTCGATTTCTTCATCTCCACTATCTCCCTCCTCTCTCTCGCTTTCATCATCTCTACCATCGCTCTTATCGCTCTGGCTTCCACCATCTCCCTCCACCATCTCATTAGCATATGTCTCCATAGGAGTGTTTTGCAATAGCAAATCATGGGTCGCATGTATATAACGTCTCGATTCCCCTAGTAATACTTGATCGGAGTTCTCCACCAAAAAGACAATAAATCAATCTGTTATCACCCATTTTCTTTTGTTCTGCACAAGAATCGTAATAATTTACACTCCACACATTGCATTACAATGTCTTAATATTAACTTTGAACTTGCGGAAGTTTGGCAGGCTGCTAGATTTTTTTTCAAAGAGCTACAATTAAATTTTAACAAGACGTAGGCATATTGTTGGTGGTATGTAACCTTCAAAAACAAGAGCGACTACTAAAATTAACAAGAGCTAGGCATAATTTTTGTTTTTTAATGACAAACTAAATTTGAACAAAAGAAATAAGATGGATCATTCATACCTAAAATTTACAGCAAAACAAACCCAATAGAGAATAAATTTATAATAGGGAATAAAAATTTAGCTGAATCGTAGTTAAACATTTGGGCAATGCCAGCCAAGCAGCACCAGAAGTACTATTTGAATAGGGAAAAAAGCTTAATAGGTGTTGGAGCGAGTATCGAATATCCTTGAACTCTACTAAAATGACACTTGTAGCAAGCTAGCTTCAACCCCTTTCTGGTGCATTCAATTTTATAACTTCTATATTATATTGATCTATCTACCAGCCTGTATCTTCCTCATTTTACAGACTTTCAAGTTGCAGCAAATTATAAATGAGTTCCTTCCCTTGAGCTAAGGCATTGATATGGCTTAGTTGTACATTGTGATCTATGGTTGTAGTTTGAGACAGTAAATCAAGAGGCTGAACCCCAATGTATATGTATTATGAGTTATCACTATCTCAACAACTTGATCAAAGTGGCCAGAAGCCATATCCAAATAAGTCTTTAACGTCTTCGACACAATTTAGCTAGCACTGCCCAATAAAGAATAAATTTACAATAGCGAATAAAAATTTACAACTACCAATAACATCTAAACCCTAAAGGATATCACATTCAAACCAATCATCTGTTCTTTCAAATAGTTTAAACAGAGTGGATAATTGAGAGTGAGAAACAGATACACATGGATTCAATTTCTTCTCTCCGATTTAAATCTACAATGCATGCTATCTAGCCACGAAAGGAATGTGACAACAATATGTTTCATTAATAATTTGCCTAAATAAAATACAATAAGGTAAAATTTCATGTGGGATCGAAGAGAAAAATAGATAGAAATGTAAACATTATTGAAAAAGAGAATATAGGAATATGATTTGGGGAACGTGACAACAATTTATTTTTTATTTTTATTAAAAATAAATAAAATACTCTTTCATACCTTTGATGGGGCTGATTTGGGGCTAAGAGATCGGGCTACAAATCGAGCTCAGGCTTTGGGAGCTTGGGTTGGGGCTGAGAAATTGATAGCCCGAGATGGTTCACAGAGTCAGTGAGAGATCATGAGTCCTTCGTAGAGATAGAGTGAGAGATAGGGTGAGAGATCGAGCCTTGGTTTAGGGTAGAGAGATCGAGAGAGAGGGAAAATCTCAAGCCTGCTTCGGGAGAGAGAATGAGAGAGAGGGAGGTCGGGCCTGGTTTGGGGGAGAGAGACCGAGAGAGAGGGAGCTCGAGCCTGGTTTTGGGGAGAGAGACTGAGAGAGAGGGAGCTCAGCCTTGGTTTTGGGGAGAGAGCGAGAGAGAGGGACCCCGGGCCTATGTGGAGAGAGAGAGTGAGAGATAGGCAAAAGTGGATGCTCGGAGTATAAAGAGAAAAATATAAAAAATGGGTTAGGGTTACGTGTGGGTAAGGGAGGGGTATTTTGGTCTAGTTTTGTTTTTTGCTTTTTGAGTTGGGGGTTAATTTCTAGGAAAGCTACTTTTGGAGAAAAGGTTGTTGGGAAAAGTTAGGTTGGGGGTAAAGTGTTAGGAAGTTCGTTTTAGGGGGTTTTATGTAAATTTTTCCTTTTTTTTTTTTGTTTTGCTACTACCTCAAAGTCAAAAAGTACTATTTTTGAACTAAAATACCCCCATTGGACACATGTTTATGTCATACTCTTTTTTTATGCCGGATCGAAAAATGAGTCCAATCCAACACAATTCCGACATAAAGAATATGCTGGACCGATCAAGACATTGATTTCATAGTGTTGGTCCGACACCAAAACACTGCTTTTGAAGCCGATTTGGCACAAAGTACTCCTTCTGAAGCCGGTCCAGTAGTGTTTTGTGTCAAGCCAGGACTATGAAAATGTGGGTATAACGTGGAGATTGATATTTTGATCATAAATTGAATGACTTTTTTTTCTTGGGGGAAGTGCAAAAGGAAAATAGTATTCAAGTTTTTTTAGTGTTTTAAATAGCTGTGGGGGTCAAACGGAGTTCCAAAAATTTCCCCTTTTTCAAACCATCCTTTTTAATGGAGGGCTTACGGGAACAACTTCTAGGCCCAATGGACCAAATATCTCATTAGGAGTAGGATTGGTTCTCTTCATGGTTTATGATGGGAGAATATAGTCTGAGCGTGGCGCAGGGATGACTGAATGATCAAACTAGGTTGAAGGGCCCCTAGCCCAAGACCGGCCATATCTACTGAAGCCAAGTAGGGCTTAATAAATTCTCGTAAAAATAATGAAAAGAAAAGAATGAAAAAAACTTGAGAAACAATGTGCTTATCCTTGGCCTAGGCGAACCAAGGCCTCAAGCCATATTTTCCGGCCCAAGAAGTAGTTTGCCAAAACCAGGTGAACAACACTTTTCCAGGCCGCCCCTCCCATTGCTAGTCTTGATTAGGAGATTTTAAACAATTTTTTAGCTCTTTCTTCATTTCTACATTTAACCTTACACGCCTTCCATTTTAAATATGATCCTTTAGTTAAAAATATTGATATTTAATTATTAAGTTTGAAGCTTCAGCCGATGTATAGACACCCGATCTCGATTGAGGAAAGTATGGGACACCAAAATACCCCTGGCCAACCACTCTGATTCATGAGCCACTCACACTGATCTTGACCCATTCATAAACTGACCACCATGGACCCCTATATCGTTCTGTCAGAGCTGAAGGCGCCCTAAGAGAAAAGCAAAGCATACTAGGACGCAGGACTACCAAACCAAGAGCAACTTTGAAGCAAAAGTTCTGGTGCCACTCCCAATGGTGCTAAAGCAGCTCCCGAAACCGACACAGAAGCGACACAAAAGACACAAGACAACAGCAATCCAAATGGAGAGAGAAGGGCCTAACGCCATTGCTTATAGCACCGGAACCCCTTAAACCTGAGTCGGGCCCTCTTTAACCTATATTCTCTTACCCCGTCAAAACCTAAATGATCGGGATTGACTCTGCAACTATCTACTTTGAATTGGCACCGACTCCAAGCGCTGGGCCTAGCCTCAAGTATCATTTCTTCTTCTTTCTATTCTCTTTTACCGTCATTTGTTAGCCTCCTTACTTGGTTTTATATGTTTATGTTAGCATTTATGAATAACTTTTAGTTTTTTCCATGTATAGTTCTTAGCCTTTGACTATTTTGATTTATTGCTTTCCTTGTTTAGTGTTTTCCTTGGTTGTTATTAACCTCTTTGTTTATTTACTGCTTTGTTTCTTTTCTCTTCTATTTCTAAAAGGGCTCTTCATTAAAACCCCCCTCTTTCTTCATTGAATATTTCTTACATCTTCCGAACTCTAAAGGCCTGTTTGATAACCGGAAGCAAGTTCATGAACTGTAAATTGGAAGTTCCTATTTGTTGGGAAGATAGAAGTTACTGTAAGAAGTTCTTAGTTTTTGTGTTTGATAATCTCCTCAGAAGTTAAAGAAGTTCTTGGTTTCTGTGTTTGATAACATGCTGAAAGATTAGCAAGTGCTAGTAAAAATTGCAAAATGTAGAGCACAGGTTTCCCATAATAATCATTCAAGCCCTAAAATGACAATAGAGAGTAGATGAAAAACTCCCTAAAAATTTAAAAACAAGTACTTCAATAAATCTCACGCCATGAACTATCCATTCCTTCAATTGTCAATAGCAGATCAAATACTCCAAATTTTGGCAAAAAAACAACCTAGAGTACAGATGATATAGATTGTAATGAACAGAATCACTTATACCCATCTAGCAAGAAAGAAAAGAGACAGATCTTGGACACATTCAAATTGCACCTTTGACCCATCTAACAAGAAAGAAAAAAGACAGATCTTGGACATCCACTCATCAACAATATGTAAAAAAAAAAAAAAGGGACTAAATTTTTGTCCAAATGACTACATTTTCATGTTGAGAAGGCCTTCACAATAATAATAAAAAAAAAAAGCCCAAATCAGATTGTCGCGATCTTTAATGTCCATCGATGCAGTAATTAGAAAGAATCCATTCACACAATTAAAAAATTGCATGTTTAGTGCATCTAGCAAGAGATTGAAAAGCAAGACTGCTTAGGCATCCATTCAAATATCCAAGAAAAGACTAACAATTTTATCTAAAAATCCATATTTTCATAAGAAAACAATCTCATAGGCATCCACTCATAAAATATATGAAAAAAAAAATGTCTCAAAAAAAGAAGACGTCTTAGGCATCTATTCATCCTTAAGAAGGTGTTCTCATAGACAGCAGTAAAAAAACCCAATTAAGTTAGGCGAGGAGGAGAATACAGTCTGCAGGGTTAGTAAATTCCCTTTGGAACCCTAAAATGTTAATAAAAAAGAAAAACCACATTTCATTCACAAATTCTTCTTGAAATTTAATATGTTGGTACTCAAAAGGAAAAAAAAAAACATAAATGTGTGAAGAAAATGCTTTATTTTTTACTAACAATCCCCTGTCCTTACAATCCTAGAAGTTCAAGACTCATTCATAACATTAAAACTCTAATAACTCTCGAACTGGTACTCTATTTTCAGAACTCAACAAAAAAAAACAAAGTAAAAGAAAACAAAAGAGATAGAGATAAATGCAATATACAACATTAATTTAATCTTTTAAACCCTACGAGATAAAACACACTCCAAAACCAATGATTCTAATAATTTTCAACATTCTGGTTTTATTGTCCACGAAAGAAGCCCTAAAATGCCCAATAAAAGAAAACCACAAAAGTATTCTACCATATCCCACCATATCCCTAAACATAACTTTAAAATCAGAAGATGCATCTTTTCTCCATTAATGATTTAATCTTTGAAACCCTCCAAGATAAGCACACCCAAAACTAATAATTCTAATAATTTTCAACATTTTATTGTCCACCAAAGAACCCCAATAATGAAATTTCTCGTTTTAGGGGAAATTTTTAGGGGAAAAAGAAAGGTACCTGATGAAGAGGAGTTAGACAGAGAGGGAGAGGGAGAGGGAGAGGGAGAGAGAGGAAGAGGGGTTCGAGAGAGAAGTACCTGATGAGGAGGAGCAGTTGCGGAGAGGCGGAGGTGGAGGCGTGGAGGAGCAGTCGTGGAGGAGGCGGAGGCATGGAATGCATTAGCATGAGGGTGCTAAAGAAGTGAGAGGGTGAGGTAGGGATGAAGTTCCTTTCATAAGTTCCGTGGTTTTTCACGGAACTTTTTTTAAGCGTAAAAGAGGGAAGAGCTACAGTATAAAGAACTCCTTTAAATATCTTACATTTTTTTATCAACCACAAAATATAAATAGTAACAAGTAAGTTCTATCTTTTAGGAACTAACTTTCGGTTATCACAAACGCTTTAATGTTAAGGTGTGTGGAAACCTATTTTGTTCGACAGTCCGAGCAAGAGAAAGCCTTGTTACTTGACTCTCATCTGGAACGTGATTCGAAAAGACTAATTTTGTATCAATTTTTTGACCCATTTGCACCCGAAGCCAATATAAGGATCCAGCTCTTTACCCGTATTTTCAAGTATAAACACATTACATGAGTTACATTGAATACGCCCTCCAAAATTTCTTGCCTTGATAATCTTGACTATCGTAATCATTAATCTGCAACAAAAAAATAAAGTTTGAAAATTTGAGTTACATTGAATACACCTTCCAAAATTTATTGCCTTGATAATCTTGACTATCGTAATCATTAATCTGAAACAAAAAAATAAAGTTTGAAATTTGATAATGATTGATGCAACCACTTTTATTGCAAATGGACCGCAGCAGATGCTTGATAACTGAAAGACACAATCCAACCACTAGGCGATTAGACTGCATTCCCTCGTGCATCGAAACCTTTTTGTCCTCACTGAGGCCCAGACTAGTTTCGCTCTCTACTCAATTTCGTATTGCCCACAATTTTGGGATTGCCATATTACTCAATGCAAGTCCAAACTCCAAATCATGACCATATAGAAACCTCTCTTTATACTATCTTTTTTATTTGGGTTAGCTGGGGAGAAGGTAATGGTTTTTACCTTACTAAGAAATATAAAATGGGAAAAGTTTTCTATATTTTCTCTGCGGTATAGAAGATCTATGCTTTCCCTACCATCCAGCCGTCCAATTTTGATCAAAAAAGCCACTCATCATATGATTTTAGATCCAACGTCTCACAGTATTTTATTTTTAAGTTTTTTTATACAAATTTTATGAATATAAAATTTGATACGTACCATCTTCTCATTGGGGCGTACCTATAAAA